CAGCATGGCCTCGGGAGGGAGCCTGTAGGGGTTCAAGACAATGGCCACCTCTCCAGGTCTCGACAGCCTCTTCTGGGAAATGGGGACAAGGGGGCCCGTCACAGGGTTCTGACGGGGAACACCATTGCTTTGTGATGATGCCTGGTCTGCGGTGGCTGCTTTCCTGACTTCTCAGTCCTGCTGGGGTCCGTGTACCCTACCACCCACGTGAGACAACCTGAGGGCAAATACCGACTGGCTACGGCGATTCGGACAGATGCAGAGGGCCTTTTGCTCAGTCACCTCCCTCCCTCACAACCTGTCACATTTAAACCCAGTAGCGTGAGCTGTGCAGTACATGCCCTTATGCCTGCAGGGACAGGCTTGAACACTGTGAAAGGGGGCAGAGGGAGGATGAAAGTCTGCTGCACCACTCAGTCCGAAGCAACCAGCTGCTTCAAAAGTCTGCTGGACATGTAAAACGTACATTTGTGGGTAAAGGGACAGTCAGCGCCGAACGGTCGCTCTGCCAGCCCCTGGCCTCAGTGCCTGCAATTTACCCAGCAGGGATCGTCGAGTTTTCACCTTGGCCCCTCGGAAGCATCAAGGGACTGAGGACACACTGGGCCCTACCCTTCGCCCACGCCGCATGTACCAGGCCACCTAAGCACATTAGAAAACCAATCCGTCTGCAGGAAGCCAAGCTGGTTTTCTCACTGCCCCTGACCCAGCCTGAAACATGACCAGAGTCAGTGCTGTCTAAGCTGTGGGAAGCCACACACACAAGGGACTGTCACGGCACCACTGCGATGCAGTACAGGACGCCAGCCCAACTGAGGAGGGCAAAGGTGTGCAAAAACCACATGGGGAGGGAGGACACGAAGGATCAGGAGGCGGGCAGAAACTTGGAGCAACTGGGACAGCCAAGCTTGTCCCAGAGTCGCCGGCCTCTCGTCAGTCTGGGGAGCTAAGAGAAAACACAGGGAGCCATGAGCAGCAGCCAGTCAGAGGCCCTCGGGGCGGTGCTCCACTGGTTACCCCCCAGCCCAGAGTGTCTTCTGGAGAGAAGGCAGCCAGGCACAGAGCTGCTGTGTGAGGGGTTGCTCCCCACGCCAGCCGCCTCCCAGGGAGACCGTGCTCTGTGTCTGGACACTGGGGTCAGTTCCACTGGCTCCTGGCACGCACGCCTGTCATCAGGTGCTGCTGATGGTGTGGCCCGGAGGCCTGTTCACTGGATGCTTTGGCTACTGAGTCCTGATCTGAAGCTACGTGAGCAATGGCTGAGGCAGTCCAAGCTCCAAGCAGAGAGCCTTGGATCTGAGTTTGGAGACCCGGCAAAGTCCTAACTGTGCCAGAGTGGCTAGTCCCTGGGCCCCTGCATTTTCTAGGACTTTATTTCCTTGTCACGAATGGAGCTAACAACATGGGCCTGGCCAGCATCCCAGGGCATCCAGAGGACTCAGTCGAGGTGCTGGGTGGAAGGTGCTTCTCGAGAAGGAATGACTACGACTTCTGCAACTTGCAAGTGTCTCTGGGTGCGCGGGGGAGTTTGAGGAGGGAACTTTATCCACGCCAGCCAAGACTGCCAAGCATCATAGGGCACAGGGACACAGGAGCTCGGGGAGCCCTGGGAGAGACGAGGGCACCCACCTAGAAGAGCTTCTCATAGCACTTCCTACAGTGGACGGTGTCCCGGTGAAGGAAGACCTGGTCCAGGAGGTCACCCATCGGCTTACTGCAAATCCCACACTGAAAGAGAAAGCAGCCGTGGTTGGCACGCGAGGCAGAGTGCTGTGAACGAGCCGGGCTGTGGGGGGCACCTGCACAAGCCGGGCAGGCAGGAGCTGTGAGCTGCTGGACGTCAGGGCAGACAACGAAAATGGCAAGGCCTGAGCTCAGAAACACGACAGAGCAAAAACACACACTCTGGGGTGCCAGCTGGCAGGATGGGTGCAGCGTGCTCAGGGGCCACGTCCAGAACACAGCCTGGGTTTGACGCCTGGCTGCACCCCTTATTACCAAGTTGCTGGAACTCTCCCAGCCTGCTATAAAGTGGGCACATCAACAGGTCATTCTTCTCGAGGTTTCTGGGAGTGTTGAGTACTGCAGCCTGTGGACAGCACTCGGCCTGGGGCTGGGTCCCCATGATGGTATGCTCAGTAAACACAGTGCTCCCGGCTGACCAGCAGGGCCGAGGGCCGAGTGCCGCGGACCGCTGAGGGTGATACAGAAGTCCCATGAAAGGGAAGGCCATTTCAGCAGTGCAGCCCCTCCCACTCACAACTCCTAAGCCTGCCTCCCCGGGAGTGCCCACTGGAAAACAGCCAGTTGTCTCCAGACCCTGGGGTCAGGCAACATGGCCTGCAGACAGTCCTGACTAAGGGGACTCATCCGTCCAAAAACCCGCGTGCTATGGGATACCAGCCCTCTTCAGGGCTCAGGCCAAGCCTTCTGGCTTTGAGCTTTCATAGGGGAGAGGGAAGGGCAGAGAGGGACTGCAGAATCCTCCAGGCTCTCTGTTCACTGGCGCCAGGCACCTTTCTAATGGCCACCTGGCCAGCCAGTTCTAGCCCGCGATTCCTTTCTCTCACCAGTTTTGTTTCTCACTGCAAAGGAATGTTTTCAGATTCACGTGTTATGCTTCTGTCGTCTGAGTTATTGTGAACCAGGATACAACTTCCGCTGAACCAATGGATGGTGCTGATGCATTTAGGGGGTCACCCTGGGCACACTCTTCGGCCCTAGGCTTCTGCCACCGCCTCGCATCATGGCTTGCTAGCCCTCCTGTGCACACACGTGCCAACCTTCCCTGGTACTCCACCTCACTGGCGCTGCACAGGACTCTGCTGGCACAATCTCCTCCAGCCCTCATAGCAGTCACCCCAGAGCCCACCGGCTCTGACCCAGCCCCGCCTCTGCCCCCTTCCGCCCTTCCCCACCCCCGCAACTCTCAGTCCTGCAGATACCACATTGCACTGCTTTGCACTGACCAAGAACACGCGTACGCTGGCTTCCCGGCCCTGCCACGTGCGGCCTACGCAAGGACGGCAGGCCCCGTGTCCGGATCATTGCCATCAGCACCAATGCCTGCTGCAGCATGACTTTCCACTGCCCGACTGCTCCAGACCTGCTCCAGGCCCGTGTCCCATTACCTCCTGAGCCCCTCCAGTCAGCCTCGGTTCCATCACACCACCCAAAGTGCTCTTAAGTCATCGATGCCCACCATGCTGCACCGTTCAGTGGCCAGGGCAGAAAAAGGCATGGCGGTAATGCGACTGGGCCCCCAAAGGAAGGCTCGCGTCCTGTCCCCTTCCCTCCACCTGGCGACTCTCTGCCAACTGTTGGCCAAGTGCTGGCTTCCTCTACCTCGCTTCGTTGGTGCCACCTTCCAAGTGGCTTCTCCTTCTCCATTCTTGCACCCACCCCAAACCTCTAGTAGATTCCAACCACGTTTAAAATAAAACCCAACATCTGTGTCCTCTCAGGCCTGCTCAATTAAGCCCCAGCCATCTCAGTGACCCCTTCCCTCCTACCACTCGTCCCTCACCATGCCATCCCAGCCACGTACGCTAGAACACGGTGCTTCTGCCCCAGGGCATTTGTGCCTGCTGGTCCTCTGTCAGGTATGATCTCCCCGCAAAAGACCGACTCTATCCCCTCCAGCACTAAGCATGTGGAACGGCCTACCCTAAAGCAATACTCATGGCAGCAGATGCCAAGATGTTCCAGGGTAATCTTTGGGCAGTCCCGGATCTCACGGCTGCAGTAGGTACAGACGCCTCCAGGTGTCCTGCAAGACAAGAAATAAGAACCCGGTAGTCAGCCTGCAGACAGACTCCTCACGTCTGATTTCATGCCACCAGGCTGGGTTTGCGGTCAGGACCTCAGCCGGCCATCTTTTTCCATGACATGCAATTGGTTTCTAAGGAGACGTGTCACTGTCTGCCTCCCTGGCCTCGTCTCATCCCTCTCTTCATGCCTGGGACCTGAGTCCTGCCCTCGGGCCGTGCACTCTCGGCCCTACCCAGTCAGTGGCTGGACTTGGCACCTGCTCGGATCTTCTGCTCAAGCTCTGTGTACTGACCTCTGAGTCGAGGGCCCCCAGTTGCAAGACCCCTGCTTTTGTTCCTGATAGGACCTGCAGACTGCCTGCTTGCTCTGGTCCTGCTGGCTGGGGCGGGGGCTGCTCTGTTCAGAGATCTGGGTCTACGTCTGCCTCTACCAGGAGCCGGCCCAGAGTCGCCTCAGGCAACATGGGTGCACAGCCGCACCTTTCTCGGGCTTCCCTGGCACAGCTGCAGCTCAGCTACTCTCTGTGCACACGTGTGCATGTGCACGTGACTGGGCTTGCCTTCTGAGTCCCCTTCCGTCCTCCAAGCCCAGCGGCTGCTCAGCAACACAGGCCTGCATGTGGGAGGGCCCCCAGGCGGGCTGGCCTCTGGGACTACTGCATGGGGATGCCCTGTGGCGTGGTCTGCTGTTCCCGAAGAGCAGGCTAACTCTCAGTCCATGCGTGTTCGCTTCGAAGACTTCCCTGGAACTTGCTGCCATGGAGTTCGAGCCTTCAGAGCTGCTGAGAGAGGTGCCCTCTGCCCCTTCATTCAGGCCAACAGCTGTGCCACCACGTGCTCCTAGCCCTGCGCCTATGCTGGCATGGTGGTGGCAGTGGCGTGTCTCTTCATTTCCCACCAGCCACGCTATCGCGTGTTGTTCTTCCTGTTAATTCTGGCCACGTTTGCAAGCTAATTAGGCCGTCAGCTGGGTTCTAACGTGAAGGGCTCTCCTGCTGATGTGACTCCCTGGGCTTGCAGACACCACCCTCCCTTCTCAGCTGATGGCTTTTCCAAGACACTGCAATCAGGGAAGGAGCACCCTCGCAGTGCCCTGAAGGGGTGACAGACATACGCACAGCCCAGGGCTGCAAAGCAGAGGCAAGAGCTAACTGCCTCCCTTCCGGAAGCCATGGACAGGGCTGCTTCTCCCCAGACACTGTGCTCCCTGCTGGGCAGCAGGGCCATACCTCTGGGAGCACAGGGCGCTGCCACGTGGCGACCTCTTCTCCATGGTGGATGAGGCCTCGGTGCTGGTGGCACTGCGGGAGCATGAGGGGAGGGGCAGATGATGGCACCAGGTCACTGCTGTGGCCAGACAGGGGCACTTTCTGACTAGGCCTGTGCGCAGCTGGGAATGGCCCACGGCTGCCAGCTGTGACCCTGAATGGTGCTCGGTGCCATGCAGGCTGGTGCCATGCAGGCACAATTGTCTTGGGGAAGAGCCTTTCCTGGGGGTCAGGACAACCTGCAGGGTGAGGGATGTGACCAGGGTGGGATAGCAACATGCATGTGTGGGTGACAACATGACAGCCAGTGGGGGTCACCTCAGCAGAAATCAGATGCTGGAGACAGAAGGAAAAAGCAAACATCCCGGCATCTCACCTGTGCTAGGGTACAGGGCGGGAGCTGGGGCGCGTTTCTGCTCTCCCTTTGGGACCTTTGTTTTCAGTAGCACTGTCTTTTTTTGGGGAGAGGTTTTTGCTATAGGGCGCGTGCGCTCGCCAGACAGACAGAGAGAGACAGAAAGACAGAGAGCGAGAAATCACCCCCCAGAGGGATAGCCACACCACAATCCCTTCTCCTCCACTCTCCTGTCGGGATCTTGGGCACGCAGGCACACGCGCCCGGCGTGAGTTTTAAGCCACCGGGTCTGGGATGCAAACCGCGGTCGACTACGTGGGAGTCCAGCGACATAGCCATTACGCTAACTGCTGGTTCCCAGCACTGCCTTTTTTACAAGAAACCAATGGCTACAGCAATATCGCCAGGGAAAGGTGACCCTCCAGCTAAAGTTGCCATCCCCCTTGTGGCCCCATCAGGAAAGCTGCTACTCCATGGGCATGCAACCTGCCTAAGGTCATGCTGAAAATAAGGGGTGGCCGGAATGTTGGCCCGGGTTGTAGTTTCTCCTACCACTGAGCTTATCCCTTAGCTTCCAGCAAGGCCAGGCTGAGGTGGGCTATGCAACCACCACTATTTTTTATAAGATACACATTTTTACCTAGTGTTAAATTCAATTTAAAAATAATTTAGTTGTCAAGAACCTGCAGATTAAATTTAACAGGGTGGATGGGCTGGGCACAGCTCAGCCCAGGGAGCCCTGCAGAGGTGAATGGCACCTGGCAGGAATGGCTCCCATGGTGGCACCGAGGTTTCCCGCATGTTAGTTTTCATGTCAAGACCTCCCTGAATGAAGCCACAGAGACGGAAAGTAGGGCAGTGGCTGCCAAGGCCTGGGGAGCTGCTAGCGGGTGTGGCGCTCATTTTCAGTGTGCCTCAGATGAGAATGTTCCAGAATCGGGCAGTGGCCATGGCTGCACAACTCTCTCAATGTATCAGGACTTCAAAGGGTGAATTATGACTCAATCAAGCTGTAGAGGAAAACCACCTTAAGGGGTTACATGACGACACTGAGACTCAGAGAAGTTAAGCATCTTGCCCCAAATGACTCAGCCAGTGGAGGCTGACCCAGGGCCTGAACTTAACTCCCATACCCATATTCACCACTCCACAGCACCAGAAAGAGCTGGTCTAAAAGCCCCAGATGTGTAATCCTGAAATATGAGGGGACTTTGAAAAGCTCGTGGAAAAATGAAATTCAAGTGCAAGTTTATTTTGGTACCTCCCAAAATTGTAATCCACACATATTTTTCACAATATTCATTTTCCATGAACTTTGTGAAGATCCCCTCATAAGACTGGGCTCCTCTCTGACCCTAAAATCCTCCCCCCTAGTGAGATGGCATGTCATGAAAAAAATCTGAGGGATCCGGTCTCAGTGTGTGAGGCAACACAGAGGTGCCCTTCCCGGTGGAATCAGGACGGAAGCAGTAGATGACCAGCAGGAAGTGACACGTTTCAGGAGCCAGGGGCACACGCGTGTCCATGTGAGGCAGCCTGGTATGATGTTTTGGACTGGGCTGGAGTGAGCTAGATGGTCCTGAAGGGCCCAGTTCTGTAAACAGGGAGTTCACAAAAGGAAGCAACAGACAGACAGGGAGGGATGATGCTGGACTCGGGTGCCGGGCAAATGAACCGCGAGGGGCATCTCCGAGGTGCCCCGTTAGCTGGAACTACTGGCCACACACTGATTGTGTTCAGAGGAAATGATGCCCAGAAGCTGCTCTGGACCGTGCCCTGGTCGAGCTACTGCGGACTGAGGAATGAGGGCAGCATGAGCCCGGCAGGCTGTGACAGGAAGGGGCTGGGGTTTGTGCGTACCTGGCGCAGCGTGCAGACGACACTTCGCTGGCGTTCACGTACTCTTTCACGAACAGAACCCCTTTGCTGTAGAAGGAGCACAGCAGAGGGGGAAGTTGCTGTGGAGTGCGCCCCGACCCACGTGTTGAGTTGGGTTGTGAAGGCAGGAAGGGAAACCTTACTACCGTCATGATGTCAGAAGTGGTGACAGGGGGGCCTTAGGGCTGACTCTTGGGTTTCTAAGGAGAAGGAAGGGGCCTGAGGCACACGGGTGGGTGGACAGACGTTCGTGCACCTGCTCTCTCATCATGGGCTGTCCAGTGCAGCCCCAGGACCTGTCAACAGGAAGCCCTCCAGATGTGGCTCCAAGCTGTGAGGTGGACAAACCCATTCTCTAAAGCACCCAGGCTCATACATTTTCTGATTAGCGACCAATGGGGTTAAAACAGAGGCAGACCAGAAGATTCTACAGGACTGGGCCTGGCTCCCGGGAGGGGTCCAGGGCTGGTCTGAAGGATGGGAAGAAGCTCATGGGAAGGCCTAGGACAGAGGTGCAGGGAAGCTTGTGACACCAGGCCCCAAGGGTGGCAGCAGGCCGAACTGCTGGGCTGTTGCTGCTGTTATGGACGTGAACCAAAACCTCCGCCCATGGCTCAGTTTGCTGTGTCTGGACTGAGCCCTGGAGGGAGGCATCTACACACAGGGACAGGGTGCCGTCCTCCTTCAGGCAGACCTGACGCCCTCCCTCCCCTGGGTCCCAGACTGCTGCGCCCCCTCTAAGCACCACCAGTGTCCCTCAGCGCAACCCTAAACTGTCGGGCCTTGCCACTCCACACCTTCCACGGAGGCACTCGGTTTCTGTGAAGTGGCACTGCTGGGGTTCCCAATAGGCCTGCATGCCTCTGCTCCACACTCACACCTCGCCCAGCAGCTGCTCTGTAAGGCCAACCCTTCTCGCACTCTAAGAGGGGCCAGGGCACCAGCTGGGGTGGCCTGGCCTTCATGGGCTACCTGTGGCCCCCCCCAAGAGTGTCCCTTGGGACAGCAGTGATGTCCTATGATAGCAGAGCTCAGTCCCAAAAAGTGCCACGTTGGCCTCTTACTGCGACAGGAAAGAAGGGGTGTGGTAGACGGGAGCAACGGAGACTGCACCATGAGGCCCCTTAGCAGGGAAGCAATGTGGGACAGCAGTCCAGCCCTCGACCTCCGAGAGCCCTCTGTGCCCACAGAACATCCCCCAGGTTGCCAGGTCGCTACTTACGTGGTCAAGCTGGGGTCCACTTCACTTGGGGGGGCTGGGACATACAGGTGAGGCTGCTCAGAAGTGGCAGTGACGGTAACAGCGACCATGCCGCTTGAGGGACTTCTCATCCTGAAAGAAGTGGAGGGAAGGGTGAGCGTGTGACACCAGGACCTAACATCTTCCAGGGTCTAACGGGCTCGTGGTGCCCAATCCCGAGACTCCCCTTTGGGACTTTAAACAATGCTGCTGTTCTGAATCAACGTGGAATTCTGAGCTTTGGCTCCCGAAGGCTCCTAGGATGTCAGTGAACGGAACTTCTCCCTCTGCACATGAGGGGGCCCAGCCAGACCTCCTGACTGTCTCCAGGGCCCTGGCCCCTGTGGCCCATTTGGGAAGGGGCGGGAGGGAGCAGAGGGGAAGGCTTGGCCTCACAGACTGTGGTTCCGGTGAGAGACCCTGTCTAGGACAGAGGTGGGTGTGGGGGCACATGCCTGCGTCCCAGCTGAGAGGCTGAAACAGGAGGACCGTGATGCAGCAAGTCCCTGTCTTGGAAAACAAAGAGGTGCGAGGTGATGGTGAGGTGGTAACACACTGGGCCCACATGGGAAAGGTCTCAGGTTCACATCCTGGGGCTTCTCTGTGCACACTGGGCACATGTGCTTGGATGCTTGCGATCTGGCCAGCTGAGGCTGTTAGGGGTCTCGTCTTTCTCTCTCTCATGGCAATGAGTGAATGGATTGCATTTTTAAGGAAATTCAGCATTAAAAATGACCTATCTCTGTCTCTCTTTTCCTGTCTCTCTTTATCTCTCATAAATAAATGAAGGGGAGAGCGAGCGACAGAGTGACAGAAGGCAGTGGGACACTGGAGTTGACAGCTGTGCTATCTGGGAGACCAAGCCCACCCTGGGAACACGACAGGCCAGGAAAGCTCTGTGCGGAGCTCTGGCAGCACAGATCTGGGACACCCTGGCCACTCCTGGTTGCGGGGCCACCGCAGTGAAGCCAGTGTGTTGAGGGTGATGGCAGTGCCAAACGCTTGACCAGCAGAGCCAAGATGAGGCAGGCAAGACCAGGAACTGGGGACGGGGATACGGATCCCAGAACCGGGGTACAGAGCAGTGGGGTCAGAGCAAGGCTGCCTTCAGTTAGGGCCAGGGCGGGTAGAGTCACGGAGTCCTGACAGTAAGGCAAGTCCGGCCTCGGCCTGAAAGCCCGCACTGTGTAGGACCCAATGACTCCAGCCTGCCTGGGTGTTTTGGAAAGAGACTGACAGAGCACCTTGGGGTGGTGTACGGCCTGGCACTGCACTGCTTGTGCACACGCTTTCTAAGCTCGGAGTCCCTTTCAAACGCAAGACAAACAGCGCCTGTGAGTCGTTGACACTCCCACTCAGTAGCAGCTCAGCTACTGTGAGCGTCTGGGCTTGGGGTGGATGGCACTGCTCTGGGCGCCAGGGTGCCGTCTGTTCCTGCTGCCCCCTCCCGTCGTTCCCTGCGCCCCCCGCCTGGTCCTGGGCCTCTAGGAAGACTCACAGCTATGACTGCCAGCCTCAGGCAGCCACCACATGACCCTGTGGCCCACATCAGCAGGACCTTCCTCAAAGACTCTCCATCTACACGAGTGGCAAGAGTCTTCAGGCTCTGACCGGCTGCCAGCATCATGATTCTCTGTGTCCTTTCTCTGTGCCAGACTCGTGAAAGAGGCTGGATGCTGCAGTTCCAAGCTGGAACTGTGGAGCCCCAGGTCTGGATGCTCCCACGCTCACGGCTGTGCAGGGTGTGTGCGTGTGTCCTGGGCTGCAGCCTTACCTGCTTGCGCAGCTGTCCAGTCCCACGGGCTTCTCGGGTCTGCTGGGGCTGCTCTGCCACTCTGGGGTACAGGGATCTGCAGGTTGCTGAGGAGGTACAGCCGAGGCCTCCTGGCCACCTCTTGGGGCAGCAGGGCCCTCCTGCCAGGTCTCTCCACTGTGGGTGGCCACACTCTTCTCAGAAACAACCGGGGTGCTGAGGAAGGGTGAACACCCTTAGGGAGCAGGCACCACGGTACTAGCTTACTCGCCCACCAGACACTGGCCGTCACCTCCTTAGGGCATGCAGGGGCTCATAGCTCTGAGGGTGGGGCAGAGAGCCCCCACCGCCATGGGGCAGGCAGCCCCCCTTCAGAAGGACCCAGCACCACTGCCCCCATCTCAGTGGAAAAGGCAGTCTGCAAGGGTAACGCACGAGGCCTCGCTCTCCAGGGCTTTTGCCATCCCTGACTGCAGCAAGGGGGGGTGGCTGCCCTGGTTGTCCTGGCAGGGAGCTCTTCGGAGGGCTTTGCCTGGACCTGCATCACACTTGCACTGTGCTCTCGCAGGCAGCTACCATGGGAAAAGGATAGCCTGCTAGTGGATCCTATATGTGCACACCCAGTACTGCCCCACCCTGGGGTGCAACACCTGCAGCAAAGACCGAGTCAGGCCTTTGACAGCCTGAGCCCCACTGTTTGGAAAACTGAGTTCACCATCACCTGGACCCTGGCTCACATTGAACTCAGCGTTCCCCACACCATGTTTATGGATGGAAGTTAATCCCATACCAGGTGGCTCCACGCCTTCAGGCTAGGACAACAAAAAAATGTGGCCATTATTTTCAGGCAGCAGTCCCTGAAAGCAACGTGATTCTTCTTTGGGTGGGGGATTCCCCGGCAGGGACAACCAGCAGATGGCCACCTCCATCTCCACCAGGCGGAACTGCAGGCAAGTGGGTGTGATCTCAGCCACCAACCAGGGGAGCACCCATCGGCGCTATGCCTGTGCCCCGCCACCTGGAGTCAGCCGTAGCCTGTCCATTACCACGGGTTGTGCACATCCCAGTCAGGACACCCTGACACGGCCACTCTGCCCCTGCCCTGCCATACACGCTTGAGCCAAAGACAAACACGAAGGCCTAAGCACTTGACTCCTGACCCTGGTAGCCCAGCTATCTTTACCATGGACGGAACCCTCTCCATCCCATGTCCTCTGTGAAGACATGGCCATGGAGATTAAGTCCCATATGAAGATATGCATTGAGTGTTCCTGGATGGCGACTGTCTTCATCCAGTCTCTGAGTAGAGCCATGATTATTCACAAACAGCAATTCAGGGTCCACTGCGACACAGGGACAGACTGATGAACAAGGAAGACTTGTTTGTCCTAGGCTTTGGAACAGGGCCATTACTTGGTCCATGGAAAGGGAAGCTGGAACAGTCCCTGGAAGCCTCATTGAGCCTGTAACATGCTGGGGGGCCTGATTCCCAGCTCTACTGTGCAGGACCCTAATGAACTGTCAGGAATCCCAGTGGTTAGAGATGGGCACAGAAATGCGGGGCGCAGCCACCAACGAGGCCTCAGAATTGGGATTAGGTAGATTCTCTGGAGCCTTTCCTTCTGGATCTCAGCAGCCACTGCCAATTCCTGACACAACTTCACTTTGTACATAGAAAAGAAGGTCCCCTTCAGCTCCTGCATACAGCCCGCCATGAGTTGACAAATGGCCTGACGCTCACCTGGTGTTGAAGAACAGAGACCTGAAAAGCCCACACTTGCTACAACAGAGGGAAACAGTGCATGTCTTAGGTGTGGTCTAAACTGAGATTCTGGGTCCCCTCCAGTGAGATCAGGCCAGTACAGTTGGGGAGGGGGAACCAGAGGGCCGCCTTCCCAGAGTCCTTGACTACTTTGGGGCAAAGGGCTATTCCTGTGGGGCTGCTTCACTGAGCTCAAAAGGGTTATAAAAGCGGCAGCTGACATGTACACAGTGCTCTGTGCTAAGAAACGTCCTACATACTTTACACACACCCCCACTTAACCCTGCAACCATCCTACATGATGGGAGCCACTGTTACAACTATTCCACCCATGAGGAAACAGGCACTATTCCACCCATGAGGAAACAGGCACTGAGTTGAGTAAGATGCCCAGGGCCGCAAAGCCAGTAAGTCACAGGGGTTGGGTTGGACCCAAGCGAGGAAACCAGGCCTCCAGCCACTACACACTGCCTTTCCCTGCACGTGTGATGCTACAGGGCCAAATCAGATAAGGGCAGAGTCCCTAAAAGTAGGGAGAGTTGCAATTGCTCTTGTAACCTCAAAGGAGTGAGACTCCACTGCTCTGCAGGGTCTCACCACGCTCCTACGAACGGAGGCCCTCCCCGCTGGGCCCCACGGCCCAGCCCGGGTCAGCAGGAGCTCGGAAAGCCAGCTGCATTCCCGGCACGAGCACAGTCCCTGACCCGGACAGCTCCGAAGACCAGTGTCCCAGCGGCGATGCATGCTAGAACCTCTGCGAAACGAGCTCGGACCGCAGGAGTCCCCTTCAGCTCCTGGCCAGTGCCCGTGCGGCGAGCGACTGTCCATACGTGGTCACCGGGGCCAGTCAGACCAACGCCGC